TAGTTTGATGACGTATTTATCACTTCTGTCCCTCAATCCATAATATTCCCTAATAATAATATAGTTTACCACAGTGCCAACGGAGAACCGACCCAACTAATATGAACCCGAGGTCTATTTGACATCGGTACGATTAACTTATCGTTACCAGAAGCAAGAAGGTAAGAAAAGCAAAACCATATTTATTTCAACTGCTGAGATTCCGAAACTAATTACCACCAAATACCTAACTGATCCTTTACAAGGGTGATTAGCAAAAATTTGAACATGTATCTGTCAGGAGAAGGGGATGTGGCTGGAGTTATTTGCTTAATCTCAACAGATCGTCTAAGATACTATCTAAGACTTGTTTTAGCATTATTAAGATATTCCTTAGAACAGAGGATTCAAGCTTTTAGGTTATTTTACATTTCATTCAAAATGAACATCAGTCATGGAAATGCCCCAGTTGAGCCTTTAAACTTCTTCAATACGTGCCTTTGTTGCAGAATATTTACAACCTGCCCGTGGGCAGTGAAAGTGGAGCATTTTCTTCTTGCTCCAACCGCACGAATCTGGAGATGCGCAATTTCGTCGAGGCAGTTCCTTGCCGGCATTCATCTTTTTACGGGTCAAATATCACTGTAATGGAAGAAATATACCTCTTAGTGAACTAATGGAAGAAACTTATCTCCAATTCTATGGATCTAGATTGTCCAAGTTCTGTGTTTTCAGTCCGTTTTAATATCCTCCACCTTAAACCATCGTATATGATCTTTGCTTTATTCCTACATTAATTTTTTTAACTTGGTGTTTCTCTTTCCCAACAAGCTATGATTTTGAAAGATGCGATGGGGAAGATCGAATTTCAAGCGGTTCTCCCGTATTCAGTTGGATCGACGGTGAGGTTTGTGACGGATCGAAACAGCCGATTGGGACATATATAAAAACGTTTTTTTAACTTGCCAGAACAACAATGAATTAAGTTTAGCTTCGTCAAGCCTCAGTCTCTAAAAATAAAATCGAATAAAGCTTTTGTTATGCAGAATTTCTACTTCCGGACCCATAACTTTATAGCACACAGAAGGGATTTGATATTTGCAAAATGTTCCTATTGATTCAGTGGCTAGAATGTTGCTTAACTCTTACATTTTGTCCCTTTCAATCGTAATCTGATAATTTCGATGTTGCAAAGTTATCGATCAAATTGAGAATATCGATACATGTTCGTGATCTACGTGTTAATTTTCTTGAAAAGTGTGCAGAATTTTGAAAGCTTAACTCGCGCGCTCTCTCAGGATCTGTCAGTCTGAGGTGTTAAAAAAAAAATGAAATGCAACAGTTTAAGTATAAGTGCAAGACTGACTCTCTATTCCGCTTATTCCTTCGATCTCACTGGGCAATGAAGTTTCGAATGGCAATCTCATATTACTTTCGCTTTTCATGAAATCTGAGGTTATCAATGCTTCGCAATACCGGCGAAGGCGTATTCTGATAAAGAAAATCCAAATAATCAGACGGATCTTGTCAGTCGATGCGTTTCACTTTCTGAACCATATCAAGATATCAAGACTTGCGTAAATCAACTACACCACAATCTGTTCATTCATTCATTCTTACCTGGTAAGATGTCGTTAGCGGCGAAAAGCGAAAAACTTGAAGATAGCTAAGGGCTACGTCGAAACTTCAAAGAAGTAATTCATTCCAAAGCTGATGAAATTAAAATAAAATTTATTTCTCCTGACAAATAGTAAACTTGCGTGTCTTTGCCAAGAAAAGCAAACTGATAATTCCGAGAATTCATTCACTCAGTGATTCGCCGAATTGGAAACGAGCATGCGCCTTACACCCTAACCCGGTAAGATAGCGTGACTTTTCAAAATAATC